AAAGGCCATTTTAATCTCAAGAGATTGAAATGACCTTTGTTAACCTCACCAAGTTGACCTCCTTGCTTAGCACGATCCAACCACTCCAATTTTCTTGGCTCCTTGTTGCCAAATAGTGAGGGAGCTGGTGGTTTAGTGGTAAGGAATCACACTACCAACCCAAAGGTGCACGGTTTGAGTCTACCAGCTGCTCTGCAGGAGAAAAGATGGGCAGTCTCCTCCCTTTAGATTTGCTGCCTCTGAAAACCTGCCGCAGGGTCAGCTATGCGTTGGTTCTGACTTGATGGCAAACAAGAAGACAACTGATACACAGCCATCAGGCTTCGGGAGGGAGGGTAAACACGTTACAAGCTGTATTCTTGCTTGACACACTTGCTGGCATTAAACCTGGGGAAACTCTTACATTGCTTTGCAAAAGTGTCTCTTGAAAGTGCAAAAGGAAACAGTACCTGGAGTAAAGTCTGGGAGAACTGTCACTGTAGTCAGAATGCCTGCAGTGCCACTGGGGCCCATGCTTTGAAGGGATCCCGCCTCATGGTTTTATATATCCTTAAAATCAGGTACAAAGAGCAGCATACTCTAAAAGAACTACATGTGGGCTTCCACCCTTCCTGCTTTTAAAGTTTTAATGAATGTTTAGAAAACTTTGATAAAAATTAAGGTGAAACTTAAAGAGGCCAGACAGAGGAAGCGGAAGAATATTCTAGGCCGAGAGAAGTATTTGGCCAAGCGTTAAGGCCATGGCAAAAGGAACAGGGGAGGCAAAGTACTGGCAGCAAAGAGTCAAAGTATCAGAGTGACTGGAACATGCTGAGCAAGGAGGTAAACAAAGGCAGGCTTTCCAGCTTAGAGTAGCCAGGAATTTAATTGGAGTATTTTTTTAGTATCATAGTTTCAAATACAAAGTTAGGAAGGGTCATTCCATTTTCTTTACTCATAAGCATGTGTGTCTTAGTGGGAGTTTAAGGTCAGTATATACAAACTATCTAAATTAACAGATTATCTAATTCAGGAAGATAAAAACTAGAATTTAAAACAGATTTTTTCCTTTTTTAAAATTAATTTTAATAATAGTTTAGACACTTAGGGTTTCCAGTCATACACTGTTGCACTTTTCTCCCTGCCCACCCTGTCCCCTGACTCCTACTTGAAAGTAAAATTCTAACTGCTATACAATCCCTCCCCAAGTCCACTCCACTGTGAAGCCTTCACTGTGGACTCCTGTCATGACAGTAATACCCAATCATTATATCCCTTTTAAACAGTTCAATCCCTCATCTGTTTCAATGCAGTATACATCATTCCTCCCCTTTCTCTACGTTCCCTCAACCCCTATGCAGTCCTGTTTTACAACAGTGGCCCTATGCAATATTTGTCCTTTTCTGACCAAGATATTTCACTCAGCATGTCCTCCAGAGTCATCATTTTGCACGGTATTTAAAGAGTTCCTTGTTTTTCAATGCAGCATAGTATTCCATTGTGGGACTATACCACAGCTTCTCTATCCATTTGTTTGTGGATGAGCACTTGGGTCTTTTCCAGATCTTTGCTATTGTGAACAGAGCCACAATAAACCTGGGTGTGCATGAAACAGATTTTTGTTAGGTGCTGTGATGCCAGCGCCAGCTTCGAGCAATCACATGTACAACAGAAGGAAACAGGAAACAATCCCGGGCTCTGCCACCTTCACTAACAGTCTTTTCGGTAAATACATCTTACCCAAATAGGAAGGATGGGTGTGACTAGCACATTTTCAACTCTTGATAAACTAGCTACTTTTTTATAGGACAAATACATGTCCTTTTAAAATCTTGCATTTTAAGGTATGATTCCCTTCTTAACAAATGGTAGGAACTTGACTTCCTTTTTCATGTCTAATGGTCACTGCTGCTGCAGCCACTGCTATTGTTAAGGACCCCTGAGTTGGCTATGACTCCTAACAACTCTATGAACAAAAGATCTGAACTCTGTCCTATCCTCACCATCTCTAACACACTTGAGCTCACTGCTGCAGTCACCATGTCAATCTACCTGGTTGAGGGTCTTCCTCTCCTCTGCTGTAGCAAACCTTTTTATTTGGGCCCTTATAAATTACGGTCAGTTAGTATTAAGGGTAACTCTCAGAAAAATAAAGAGGTAGAGAGGTGGGAGTGTGGGTAGGAGTTGTGCTGCCAACCCAAATGCAGGGAGTGTAACTCCACCAACTGTGTCATGGGAGAAAGATGGGCAGTCTCTGAAAACCCACTGGTAACTCTTGTTGTTGTGGTTGTGTACTGTCAAGTTGGATCCCATTCATAGCTGACCTGCCAGTGGATTTTCAGAGGCAGTAAACTGCACAGGAGTAGACTTCCCATCATTCTCCTATGAAACAGGTGGTGGATTCGAACCACATGCCTTTGGATTGGCAGTGCAACTCTTTACCAGAAAGCCCCCAGAAGCCTATACACTGATAGGTATTCCTTTAATCCAAGGCAATCAGAACGGTCAGTAAGACAAGTTTCTGAAGAAAAAAATCCCCAAAACCACTCCATAAATATTACACTGCAGGTTGAAAAGTACAAGTACTTTAAGACACATCAGGCCAAAATTGTATGGCTTAATGAAGGTAGAATTTGTTTAAAAGAATCTTCTTTGGATTAGTATACCTGTGTGAAAATGAGTAAGAGGAGAGACAGAAACCACTCAGTGTCCCCCCCATCTGTGCCTTAGTCACAGAATCCTGTTTCTCTTAGGTATGTTTAAGTGCATTATTGCCTCAGCAGTTTGGGGGTGGGAGTAAGCTAGATGACACTGAAATAAATACTTGGCAACACAGGCCAAGAAAGAGGCTGGCACTAACTCATTATGCATAATGAAAGCATGTACCTACTACATGCAGAATGCCAAGTTTTCTTCTCTGTCTGAAGTCATGCAACCCAGAGTCTACCTGACTGAATGCTTCAGTTATTACTCTAAGTTATTAATTTTAACAATTTGTTCTGGTATATAAACTCAAGAAGCACATTTTAAATCGTCAAAATTCTTCTTCACTAAGTTTTAATTAAACTAAGTATTATTAATGGTTTTATCTTGATTCTTTACCTGAACAATGTAGCTCAATCTTTAATGTCAGAGAAAGGACCAAGTGCGTGTGTAAAGGAACAAAAGGAAGATTTCAAACACAGACCCACATGGAAGTATCAAGAGTCTTAAAATTTTACAAGTAACTCAGTAATTCTATTTCTAAGAATTTATTTTTAAGAAAACAGTCATGGATGTGTACAAGATTCACTGAAGTGTAAATGCCGAAATGTCCAATAGAGGATTAAATAAATTATGGTTCTGCCATGAAAGAGTAATAAACCAATAAAATAATGTACAAGACTATGTAATAGCCTGGAAAGAGGTTCACAATATATTAAGTGGGAAAAAAGTAGGTTATAAAACAGTATGCACAGTATGAGCCCATTTTTTATAAAAAATATACATATTTAGCAAAGTTAAAAGGACAAATGATATTTACCAAAATATTATTAACATTAGTTATCTCAATACAGGATATTGTAGGGCGATGGTTGATTTTGTTTACTCCCACCCTCTTTCTACTCGCCTATTTTAATTTGCTCTCAGTAAGATTATTTTTAAAATAGGGTGGGAATGAAAGAAATTAGCCTCAATGAGCAGAAACATAACTCCAAAGACTCCTTCTAGCAAAGTCAATGTTTCTTTTCAGGCCACACCCTGGGAACAGCTTCTGCTTTATAAATTTGAGCGTCCACTGATGGATGACATTCACCCAAATCCTATAACCACAATACTTAAAAGTAAAACAAATACTCCCACCACCCCTCTGCCAATTATCACCAAAATGAAAAGATGGGACAATACAGATACTCAGAAAAGGAACATTTCAAGTACATACTACTAAATTATACAAAGTTACATTATCTAAATTTAGTTTATTGCAAAGATCAAGACAGCACAGTAGAAGCTTAACAGCTTCCCATCACAACATCCACAGCATTCACTCTCATCCTCATTCATCCATGCAAAAGGTCTGTACACATGAGTCTGATGTTTCTTGGTTCCCATAGTATAACAGGAAACTTGACATTTTTATTAAAAAGGTAAATTGAAGATATTTATCATCAGACCATAAATTTCCTCTTCTGGAATTCAAATACTATAGTATTTGAAGAGATGCTCTGTCAAAAGCATACACACAAAGTAAAAGGGGCACCATTTCCAGAGCACTGGGATTACGTTAAACGCAAGTGAATTCTAATAATGATGAAACTCAAAAGCAAAACTAGTTTTAACAAAAGGATCCAGTAACTAAGATTATTTAGCAGGCACAATGAACAGTGTAAACACTGTTACTGGGCACCAATTTAATAGGGTAGACAATATTTGCTTCTGCATTCACACTTAATTTTTCAATTACATAGCTTGAAAAATGATGCTGCTTAAGCTAAGGATGTTTAAAAAAAAACAAACAAGAAAGAAAAGGAATTTTAATAAATAGATCAAAAGCTAAAAATCTAGCTAGGTTATCATGCAAGATACTGTATAACCAAGACAAATTTATAGTAAATGCAACTTGCATTCAAAATGAACCTATCTTTATTATTAAAAGGGTAAACATGAATTAACCCAGCTGCTTACTTGAATTACAAAAGTAACATGATTCAATATGAAAATAAGAAACTGTCTACAAATCTCTGACAGTAATAAATCGCAATATACAATGCATACAGGAGTCATACAGAGCAACAAACTCTTATACAAAACAAAAATAGTTTAATACCTTTAAAATCCAAATTTTTCTTTAAAATCATTCATGAAAAAGATTCTTACGTTGGAATTAACACCTCAATTAGTCAAGCATCAGGAAGCTACATTACAGCTATTTAATGTACAAAGAGACATCTCTCTACCAGCCACTTTCTCCAAATGTCTCGGGCTCCGGATTCGTACAGTCCTTTCTGCGTCAAGACTCCCCGCTTCGTCATTTTTCCAGATCATGAAAACTGAATTTGTTGAACACCAGATATCTAAGAAGAGAATTTTAAAATTACATGTTTATAAAGGAAGAACTGTTAAAGTGAAGTATGCAAGTAATAAGCATTTGAAGAATAAAAATGATAAGCAAGGAAAAAGAAATTTCCCTTTCACCAAGATCTTGATTTCCTCTACCCAAAAGTTGTTACAGTAACTTCTTGGGCATCTTTCTAAGATTCATCTATGCAAACAAACACATGAGAAGTAACCATTAATTATTTTAATTAAACTATTACTCTACTCAACCATTTATGGTAAATTAACTTAATGGTTAAAAAGTATTTTTTTAAAGAGTATTACATATTTTTAAACACTACGAGATGGTTCATGTTTTGAGAATTCAACCTTCTCTATTTTATCAAGTCCTTAATAATGTGCTGAAATCAAATACCGGTGATAAAAGTGAGTGGATTAGGATACATTTTTCAAATAATTTTCTTTTGTAGGTCTTTCTCCACTCCTTCACTTCTGGAGACTGACCTGTCTCAGAGGTGCTCTCTGAGTTGTGTCTTCTCTAATAAGAACATCTTCTTTGTGTGTTGGGTTTTTTTAAAAATTATTTTTAATGAACGTTTACAGAGACTTAGGGTTTCCAGTCATTCATTGTTGCACTTTTCTCCCTACCCACCCCTCCCCCTCCCCAGCATCCTGGGTTTAAAAAAAAAATAAATAAAAAATTATTTTCTTTTTTTGCTCATGTCATAGAATATCAGAAAGATGTCTATTGGTGTTTATTATTTTTAACTCCTCTTTTGCAGAAATAATGACATAGGTACTCGATCCTAAAGACTTGAAAGAAATTAGTTTAAAATACAAAGAAGGTATCATACCTGTTGATATGATGTTGTATAAACCATAACATTTTGTTGTTGACCATCTGCAGTTATTAAGCCAGCCGGTAACTGATTAGCTAAAAGATAATAAATGAAATAAAGTTAGAGAGAAGGAACCACACTTACTTTCTTGGCCATTAGTACTCATTCTAATTCTACTGCTTATCAGTGGAATTCTTAGGGCAAAAAACCCAATAAACTCTTCCAAATTTTCCATCAACTTTCTGTATCTTCATGTCCCTAAAGTGTCCTGTTAAACCAAATTAAGCAGCACATATTTCCGTATCAGAGAAATATGGCACATATACACATATATTCTATAGAAGAAACATAGCCACTAAGATTTACTTCGCAGATAAGTCAGTCTTTAAAAAAAGAAACCTTCAGTTCAAACTTACTGAAATCATAAGATTCTCATGTTATAAATGACAATTCTCAAGAATTGTCCCATCTGACCAGAATCTTAAACTAAGGGTTCTGAGAAGTCTGACTTCTCAGAAGACTGTCCATGAAGAAGCCTGTCTGCAGGATTCAAATGTCTCTAGTTATCACTTACTGACTTAAAATGTAAGGACACGAATTCCTAAGAATTATTTGACATAATATTATTTCAAATACTCAGTGCTGACAGTCCATTTAGCAGCAATCATCAGAACTAACAATCACAGGACAAATGCAGTTGCATCAGCGTATCCTAGCATGACTTACCGAATGCCTCCTCAGTGAGCTCTTCACTTAGGCCATCTGTAGCTGTGACTGCACCACCAATTCCTTTCTCTCCTTTCATAGCCTGGGGGACAAAACCCAAACAAAGTCGTCACTGATGAAACCGCTCTTAAAATGAGAATGCTTTACTTCTTGCCTAAACTATTACAACTCTTAAAGGGTAATTATTAACATTTCTAGTTAGTTACATATAAAGAGGGTCTTCAACAGCTCACTGTATGTAAGCAATCATTCCAAGACAGAGGTAGCAAATGACCCTGAAACAAGGTCGTTATGGATTTAAGTCAAAGGAATGACTCCAATTCTGTAGCAGAGTGAACTCTACAAATAAACTTTACAAGTCTGAAAGACATAAATGTTTGGCTTATAAATCTACTACAAACCTGATAAAGACATTCACTATATAAAAAAAGGACTCAGGAATCTATAATCAAGTTGTATGTATAGGGGCTGCTAACCAAAACATGGGGGGGTTTGAATCCACCAGGTGCTCTACAGAAAAGACGAGGCAGTCTTCTAGATATCAGATTCCTGGTGGTGCAGTAATTATGCCCTGGGCTGCTCACCAAAGGTTGGCAGCTGGAACTCCCCAACTGCTCTGGGGGAGAAACGTGTGGCCGTCTGCTTCCACAGTCTGGGAAACTCAAGCTCTCCTTTGTATTACAGGGTCAGTAGGAGTTGGCATAACTTATTGGCAATGGGACTGTTTCCAGTTATGTATTTATTTCCAGTCATGTGTGTGTGTGTGTGTGTGGGGGGGGGGTTCTTTTTTTTTTTTACCAAAGACTTCAGACTCTTGTCACTGTCAAGTTCTTTGATACTATCAAGATTTGGAAAAGTGATGGGAGAAATTTATATACTTAACCACCCACTTAGATCATTCTAGGCAGATTTCTGTCCTTAGGTGTCAAGTCCACTAGGACTCACAGCAACCCCATTAACCATGATCTGAACCCTGCCCCATGCTAACACCAGGCATCACAATCACCACACTCACACTCCTTGTTCTAGTCAGTCAGCTCATGGAAGGTCTTGCTCTCTTTGACTGATCCTCTTACTTTCCAGCATGATGTCTTCTTACAATGACGGGCTCCAACATGACAACATGCCCAGAGGATGTGAGACAAAGTTTCACCATCACTGTCTCTAAGGCGCACCCTAGCTACACTTCCAAGACAGACTTGGTCCTCTGGTCCATGCATGTTCAGTACGCTTCTCAATGCCAATTCAAAAGCATCATTTCTTCTGTCATCCATAACTTTGCTATTAATAAGTGTCAGTGATTGTCGTTTGTTCTAGTAGCAGTAGAAGGAGCTCTGCTGACTCTGGTCAAGAGTTGTGCTACCAACCCAGACATGTGCAGATCAAATCCACCAGCTGCTCTGCAGGAGAAAAATGACAACTCCCATGTGCTTCCCTTCCTCCCATATTTTGCTTTTATAGCCTCTGAACACCCACTGGAGGGTCAGCTATGAGTCAGTTCCAACTCGATGGTGTCTAACAGCAGCAAAAACAGTCGCAGCACAGGGAGCTTTGCTGGTCTAGCGGGTAAGGAGCTGTGCTGCCAGCCCTAAGGCAGGAGATTCGAATCTACCAACAGGCCAGGGGAAGAAAGATGGGCAATCTCCTCCAGTGTGATTTCCAGTTACTCAAAGACAGATTTATTCTTGGTGCAGTCCATGTGTTATTTGAGACTTTTCCCCAACACAATTCAAGGTACCGATTATTCTTTAGTCTTCCTTATTTACTGTCCAGCTTTCAGATGTATGGGAACTAAGTGAAAATACTATGAACTGCATCAGGCATGAGTCTTTTTATCGGAGTCTCTTTTAAGACTTTAAAGAGGTTCTTAACGGCAGATTTCTCTAATGCAACACATCTTCTAATTTTGTGACTGCTGCTACCATTTGGAACCAAGTAAAATGAAATGACTGACAAGTTCAATCTCTTCTCTACCTAGTAGTCCAGTTGTGAGGATTTTTATTTTTTGATCACTGCAAACATTCTAATTTAACTGGATCCAAATAGTAAACATCCTCCTCATGATCTCGGTCATGCTCAAGCCCAGTGTAGTGGTCAATGGCCTGTCTATTACGATGGAGCAGGACAGGACAAGGTTCAGATCTCTTGTTCACAGAGTCATTATGAGTTGCCAACTTGATGGCACCTGGTGGTTTAGTTTAAGGAACTGTGCTGCCCACATAAGAGTTCACGGTTTGAATGTACCAACTGCTCCTCAGGAGAAAGGTAATCTCCTCCTGTATGATTCACCTCTGAAAAACCACTGGAGGGTCGCCTATGGGTCAACTTGACAGTATGTAACAACAATAATACTAAACATACTGTTTCAAGGAAATATTCTTTAAGTCATACAAGATGACACTCAAACAGAAATCTGTTTTAAATAAGCTGATCTCAATTTGTTCCCATAAAAGTCCTATCATATACAAAGATAAATCTAATAGGAAATGTAGAGGGACTCAATCAATAATAATCCAGGGATATAGTGTGTGTGTGTGTGTGTGTGTGTGTGTGTATGTCTTTTTTAATACATAAAAGGCTTCAAGGTCTCAAATGCTCTCTCTTCCAAATTAGTTACAATAATAAAAGCCAACATTTAATGAATGCTCACTATATCCTGGGTTAAATGTCTGGACTATTTTACTTGGTCCTCTTAATGACCCTGTAAAGTAGGTACTATTATTAGCCTCACTTTCATATGAGAAAACAAAGGCTCAAAGTACTTGAACAGAGTCCATCTGTGGTAGAACTGGAAGTAGCTTCCAGCTAGCCCAAACCCAGAGTCCATGCTCTTAAATCATTATATAACTAAGCTGTAGTCAGTAATAACCAAGGGGGGGATTACTATTTAAGTATAGTAAGATGAATGGCTACATATTTCTTTCGAGAAATGGCAAGAATTTGTTATAAGATTAATTTTTTTATAAGATTGTTAAATAATATTCAAAAAAGTTAAAAATGAGTAGTAAATCTGTATCTTTAAATAAGAATGGAAAACACTCTAGTTACCTCTCTGAATTTCTGAAGGTACAATTTCAGAGGTTCTACGTAGCTGTCAAAACCCAAGGTAGACATGGCAAAAAGAATGTCCTCTCCGTTGATTGTCTTCCTTTTCTCCTGATGGCATCTTTCACTGGCTTCCGAGGTTATAAAGCTGATGAACTCACTCACACATTCTTGAACACATTCTTTGGCGTCTTTTGCAATCTGAAGAGAAAAGTAATAGGTGAAGATTACATCCTTCAGTGTTAGACTATCAACTTTACACCTTGGAAATGTCCTAGTAACTCATGGGCTACCAAATTCCAACAGTGAGCCTTAAACCAAAAATACCCCTGAAGTCTTCTTAAACCCAAATAATATAGCTTAATAGTAAAGAATGCCTACATCGAGCACTATGCTCTTTTAATAATTTGTATTGGAAGCAGGAGTGGCATCCACTTCCTAACCAACAAACCTCTGGAAACTCTTATGAACTTTGATAAATGTCTATAGTTGTAGAGGGTCTTTAGGCCTTTTGTTCACAGAGTCACTGAGTCGTGCTCGACTTGACGGCAATCAACAACAACAACGGGAGCTCTGGTGGCACAGGCCATAGCCTGTTGTCTTGCTAACAAAAGACTGCATTCCGGAGAGGTTCAAATCCTCCAGCTTTCCCATGGAGAAAGACGAGCAGTCTCCTCTTCCTTCTGAGGTGATTCAGTCAACTCAGTAGCAGTTAGTTTTCTCTGGGTTCAAACTGGTTAGACAGCAAACTCAGGATGTGCATTTAATGAAAGGGACAGAGCATAAAAGGAGGGTGAAATGGATGCATACCTTTAAGAATGTAACCAGGGCCAAAGAACTATGCACTAGACATTGCTAAATTGCTCTGCTATGTACAATCTCCACAACAACAATAGTTATATATTTAAAAACATATTCCAACCTCTTGTTGTTGTTATGTGCTGTCGAGTCGTTTTCGACTCATAGCGACCCTATGCACAACAGCCCTAAAACCCTGCTCTATCCTGCGCCAACTGCACTGCCTCTGACACTCCCATCCCAATTACCCCAGTCACTGAATCAATCCATCTCATAGAGGGTCTTCCCCTCCTGTGCTGTCCCTCCACCCTCCCAAGCATGATGTCCCTCTCCTGTTTTTCAGTGATGTTTTATTTCTAGCTTTCCATATAAAGTCTCATCATTTAGAATGTTTTAAAAATAAGATATAATCCTAAGGGTGCTCTGGTGGCCTAGTGGCAAGAAGCTGCACTACAATCCTAGAAACACGCGGTTCGAATCCACCAGATGCTCTGCTGCAGAAGGAGGAACAATCTCCTGTATCAGTTGGATCCGATTTGATGGTACACACACAAAATAATAATAAAAATAAGATATAATCCCATAAAATAAATATTAACTTAGAATAAGAGTACTAAGTCTTTTATCCTTCTGGCTGTTCACTTTAACAATATGTATACATTTTGTAAGACCTTTTCCTTTGTATTGGAGGGGTGTATGGATATATGGGCAAATAGTTTGTCTTTCTAACATATAGCTTAAATGTGCTTTTTGTATAGTACACTGTTCCTTCCTATTTCCCAGTGAAATTTTTTGGGTGGTTTTCATGTGAATTCATATACATTTACTTTATTTTTTTGTAGTACACTAAAATTTAACTTTTTAAGATGTTGTGCTGGATACGTCCAGGTTTTCTCCTATCAGTGCTGTAATAAATAAGCTTCTTCATATCTTTTTTCCTTTAAATGCTACCTTGTGTTTGGAGAACGTTTATACAGCTAATTGGATTCCCATTTAACAGTTGCTATCTAGATTGTAACACTCAATTTTTTCTTATTTCTGACTTTGATAAAAGTAATTTCCTGTTTCATCTTTACATATGCTATTTTACTATATGGATGAAAGTCTTTTTTTCATAACCCTACGTACTGAATATAGATGTTCATTTCTTTACTAATTACTACAGTTATTACTATAATTTATTATTAACTGCAAGCCTTATAATGGCTCAAAGTAATTGATTTCAGCCAGTAACATTCTATGATAGGTTTGGAAGGCAGGAGCGGCATCCATTTTCTAAACAACATGCTTCCAGAAACCCTATGAACTTAGATAAGTGTCGACAGTTGTAGAGGGGCTTCAGGCCTTTTGTCCACAGGGTCACTTTGAGTCGTGCTCAACTTGAAGGCAATCAACAACAACCCAATCAACTGGGATAGAGGAACATTTGGGGATATGATTGAACTAAATAAAAATAGAACACAGTTTAGGACTTATGTAGAAATTAATTGAAAGAAATATTTGTTGAAAGTTGTGTGACTAGAATCAACGGCTAACTGACAAACTGTGCATCCAGGTGGTATTAGTTTTCTCTTTCCCTCATGTGAGCAGTTATTTTAAGTTTCTCTTCATGCTTGGAGAGGTGGAGGGACAGTTCAGGAGTGGAACACCCCGGATGAGATGGACTGACACAGTAACTGGGGCAATGGGGGTAGGTGAGTTGGAGTCAGTGAGACTAGCTCAGGACAGAGCAGGGTTCAGACTTGCTGGACACAGGGTCACTATGGGTTGCAGGCAACTCAACAGCACTTAACAATAACACCACAACATGTACATTCTTACCTTTCCTGTTTGAGGTATGGCATTCTTCATTATCCTCGCCACATTTGCGATTGGAAGATAGATATCTTGTTCTCTGAAACTTTCTTTTGAACCATTTGTGTCTTCATGATCATTCATGCTGTCCTCAGCATCTACAGAAAAATGGTTTCAGTTTGAAACTTGTCATAATTTTTAATTCTAGACACAGACCTCATCCAGCAATCTCAAGAGAGAACCATTCTACTTCATTTCATAATCCTTTCGAAAATTGCTTAGAATGACAGTTCTTTTCTATTTTCTCCGAGTCAAAACTGTGCCTGTTCATTACTACCATACCCACTGTCCGGGATACTTTTATCTTCAACTTTAGTTACTAAAACCCTTCATCTATAAGAAATTTTTTTTTTAAAAAAGTAAAATGCTGCAACAATGAAAGAATCTTTTTAAAGAGAAAGGACAACCCCACCCCCAAACAAACAAAAATGCCACAAACCAGACTCCCTACCACCTTCAGGAGTGGTCTTGCCTTCCACAAAATGTCACAAGTACTTTAGTCTTTTCTCTGAATATTTTCTCTGTCTGAGCTTCCTTGTTTACTCTTTATTACTTGATACTGATGAGTCAGTTTGTGTCCTTCTTAGGGTCTTAGTAAACAATTGCTACACGCAACTATAATTAAAATATTGCTGCAAATGACGGTAATACATATATTTTTTTTAAAAAGTGTTTCTAAGCACGGTCATCAATTTAAAAGTGTGCGGCAACGTGTTAATAATACACAACTCACTCAAGAAATGGGAATAAATATAGACCCCTTCCAAGCAGTTGGCCAGATAGCTTGTCCTTCAGATTTCTTGGCACAGCCTGGCAAGAATATCCAGGGCTGCATCTGTTTGCTTAAATAAGTTAACTGGTATTCCATCAACCTTATTTTTGCCAATTCCTTCAGCTTGAACTTCTTCTTCTATTACCATTCTCAATCATATGCTTCCTCCTGAAATACTTCTGTCGGTCAAATCCTTTTTGTACAGTGACCCTATAAGTTCCTTCCATCTTCTTGGATCACTCAAGATTTTGCCCATACCACCTTTTTTTTTAGTAATAATTTTAATGAACATTTACAGAGAATTTGGATTTCCATTCATTCATTGCTGCACTTTTCTACCCACCCAGCCCTCTCCCCCCGCCCCCCAGTTCACTCCTCTCTTTCAAAAGTAAAAGAAAGACTCCCTCTCTGGTACACAATCCCCTCACACCCCTGCACCTCCCCAAGCACATTCCACTATGCAACCTTAATTGTGGACTCTTGTGATAACCATAATACCCTATCATACATCGCTT